GGGACTTCTTGTCGAACCGCTCTTTTCGAGATCGTGTCGAGGGAACCCGCTCCTCCCCACGACCTCTCACAGCTGGAGTCCCGCAAGGCTCTGTCCTCTCACCCCTCCTATTTAGCTTATTCGTTAACGATATTCCCCGGTCACCGCCGACCCATTTAGCTTTATTTGCCGACGACACGACTGTTTACTATTCCAGTAGAAACAAGTCCCTAATCGCGAAGAAGCTTCAGAGCGCAGCCCTAGCCCTAGGACAGTGGTTCCGAAAATGGCGCATAGACATCAACCCAGCGAAAAGTACTGCGGTGCTATTTCAGAGGGGAAGCTCCACACGGATTTCCTCCCGTATTAGGAGGAGGAATCTCACACCCCCGATTATTCTCTTTAGTCAACCCATACCCTGGGCCAGGAAGGTCAAGTACCACCTGGGCGTTACCCTGGATGCATCGATGACATTCCGCCCGCATATAAAATCAGTCCGTGACCGTGCCGCGTTTATTCTCGGTAGACTCTACCCCATGATCTGTAAGCGGAGTAAAATCTCCCTTCGGAACAAGGTGACACTTTACAAAACTTGCATAAGGCCCGTCATGACTTACGCGAGTGTGGTGTTCGCTCACGCGGCCCGCACACACATAGACACCCTCCAATCCCTCTACAATCCCGCTTTTGCAGGTTAGCCGTCGGAGCTCCGTGGCTTCGTGAGGAACGTTCCTAACACGCACTACCTCCGGCCGCGATCTTACAGAAATACATGAAAGTTCAGCGTCGCGACCGGGCTACTTCGATGAAGGCCTGATGCGTACATGGATAATCGACCTTATGCGTGAGCCGCGCGGCTTGGACGTCGGCTCGAGCTCTGAATTCTCTGACAGTCATGCAGCGAAGCCAGGTGCGTCGATCGCGGCCGTGACCGTCGGCTACCGGATCCCTCAGGATCATGATACAGCTTTGGCACGTAGACCGCTTCAGACTCTGAGAGCGAGGTTAGGCGACTCGGGGGACTACCGCTGACTCGTCGCAAGCTGTCGCAGCAAAAGAGCGTTCGCCGTGCAACGCGTGGTAACCATGATCATGCTCGCTGAGGTTCTCGCGCGAGTCTCCTCAGCGCGGTCGGCGCATCGATCCGCGTAGTAGACTTCATGTTCGCGGAAGGTCAGCTATCTCCTTGAGTGTCTGTAGGTGGCTGGCCTTGGAGGCGCTGGGTAGCTGTTAGTAAATCCCACCCTCTCCCTGCGCGTGAGCCTGGCTCGCCTGAGCGCGCGTGTCCTGGGAAGAATGGAGCAAGATCGGTGCGGGCCTCGGCCACCCGGCAGGCTAAATCCTTGCAGATCGCATAAAAAAAAAAAGTTGGCCATACAAGCTTGTTTTTATATTTATTTAATTATCAACAGTAACTGGTTCTCTCATATTATCATATGGTTGCTACCACTGACCTTGAGATATGAACGGTAAATCTTAATTATATAGTTTTTGTTTTGTTTAAATGGGTGGACGAGCTCACAGCCCACCTGGTGTTAAGTGGTTACTGGAGCCCATAGACATCTAGAACGTAAATGCGCCACCCACCTTGACATATAAGTTCTAAGGTCTCAAGTATAGTTACAACGGCGGCCCCACCCTTCAAACCGAAACGCATTACTGCTTCACGGCAGAAATAGGCAGGGTGGTGGTACCCACCCACGTGGGCTCACAAGAGGTCCTACCACCAGTAATATATATAATTCAGGGCTCTAAGTGCACATGAAATAGTTATGTAAGATGTGAAATATCAGAATAAAACCCAGGTATTATTTCTGTACGATCAATGAACGAATGAAACACAGGACGTATGCAATCATCTTAAGCCACTTCTCAATAATTAGATCTTACAGTAGAAATTCTGCCCCAATGCAACTAACTTTTCTCAGTTAAACTCATCCCTATTATGTTCACGTCGGCTCATGAGTCAATCTATAACTAGTCTAACAATAAAATATACACACATGTTCTATCGCCTACAGTAGGAAGTGTCAATAGATATAATTTTTTGAAACACGACCCCAGTGCACCGCCGCTGAGCTCTAC